GAGGGGCTGGAGCGTGTCCAGGGCAGGGAACGGAGCTGGGAAGGGGCTGGAGCCCCAGGAGAGGCTGAGGGAGCTGGGAAGGGGCTGAGCCTGGAGCAAAGGAGGCTCAGGTTGGATATTGAGGAAAATTCTTCCATGGAAAGGCTTGTCCAGCTCTGGAACAGCGGCCCAGGGCAGTGGTGGAATCCCCAGTCTGTGGGAGAGTTTAAAAGCTGTATGGCTGTGGCACTGGGGACATGGGACAGTGGCGGCCTGGGCAGTGCTGGGGAATGGTTAGACTCAATGGTGTTGAAAGTTTTTTTCAACCTAAATGGTTCTGAGATTTTGAACCCAGAGTAATCCAGCTAAGAAGTCACCAGTGTGATTTGGCTTAGAGGACATCTCTGTGTTAATTCTTTGCTTGTACACACACAGAATTGCAGCAGATGCCTTTTTCTATTTGCACCATCAACTACTCATTATTACATCCCCAGAACACTCTCCAATTAATTCTTCAAATTTTTAGCCTTTTCACCTCTTCCACGCTTCCTTTTGGTTGATGAGTACATTATGTCCAACTGAGTAAAAATAATAAGCATTGAAGTCTTTACATGTCATATCTATTTTATAGATTCTTGACAAGGCAAACTGGCAACTGTTCTGGTGTCCAAAACTCATTACAGACTTTACATGCTCTGTATTTTCGTCTGATTTCTGACGCACTAAACATTATCACACTGTCTGTTAGTATTTCTCTATGAAATGCAAATCTGGACTACAGTTTACAGTCAGAGAATCTTTCATCAGCTGGTGGGCAGAATTTGCTGGAACAGAGGGATGTCAGAGTGACACAGTGCATAACAGGCACCTACTGCTCACGGGAATCTCTAGACCTATCTGATGGTTGGAATCATAGAATTCCAGAATGGTGTGGGCTGGAAGGAACCTTCAAAGGCCATCTAGTCCAATCCCAGTGCACCTTCTCCTAGACCAGTTGACTGCAAGCCCCTGGAACAAGGACTGGAACACTTCCAGGGACAGGCCAGCCACAGCTGCTCTGGGCACCTTGTGCCAGGGCCTGCCCACCCTCCCAGCCAAGAATTCCTTCCCAATATCCCATCTGTCCCTGCCCTTTGGCAGTGGGAAGCCATTGCCCCTTGTCCTGTCACTACATGTCATTGTCAAAAATTACACTCCTGGTTCCACTGCACCATGGGTACAGATAATCCAAACACACTTTGCCGTTTATGACCAGAGAAAGTACCAAGAGAGGGAGCCAGGATGCAGCAGAGTCCCTGCACACACACTTGGGGAGCTTCAGAAAGGTAATTTTTCTTGACCACTCTTGCATTACCAAAAATCGCAACATTTACCATTTCTATCTACAATTTACACAATTTGGGCCACAAAATTTCTTTGATGATAACAGCCTGAAAGCCAACACAGGTCCCCAATATACAGGAAGTTGGTGGGTCCATCCTCTTCTGAATAACCAGTCCTGGTCACAGGAAAAGCCTGCCCAGCTCACTATTCTATCCAAAAACAGGCTGGGATGGATGCTGAAATAAGAATATAACAGCACGTCAAGAACAGGGAGGTCCTCCCCATGAGTACATCCTCCCAGCTTTCAGCAACATACACTTTAGAAATTTATTGAGCCAAATCTTTAAAGATTTTTTTTCTGACTCCTTTCAGAGCACAGCTACATTTCAGACATCCACGGAGTCCCATACAGCTGTGAGGATGGAGCTCCCAGCTCCACCACTGCAGAGAAAAGCCTGGTAAGCTCTTGGAAACAGAAACTCATTTTGGTTCTTCTCAGATCCTGCCCACATGGCTCCCAGACAAGCTCACTGCAATGTGTACAGTAAAACTGATATGATTTGCCACTGTTTCAAGGGACAGCAAGACCAGTTAGAACATTCTGGCTGTAGCTCACATGAAAAAGACTGGTTCTGTATGGTGCTGCCAGTACTGTTTATGAAGTGCAGGACGTGACAGGGTAGACAAGGAGTCAGATGAATCTCATCTTTTATTCAGATCTACAAGCCTGACAGCTCTTACCACTTGCCAGATGGTGACAGGTACATTTAAAAAAAAAAATTAAAAAATTTCTTTTTTTTGACGTCCTCTCTTCTCTAACAAAGGAGCTATTTAAAAATTCAACATGCTCCCTTGGAAAGCTTTAAATAGTTTCTGAATGTAACTGGCATTATGCTGTAACCCAATATTAAACAGTTTTGGGGAGGAATTGTTTAAATTGTTGAGGAAAACCTACATTTAACTGTTACAAAGGAAAGGACGTGCTGCTGTCTGTGGGAGGCACAGGGCTGCAAGCAGAAGGATCTGGCCACCATCAGTTATCCTGGATGTGGGCAAGCAACCAGAGAAGGTTCCTATCTCAGTCAGGAATGTAGACAACTGTTATCTTCAGTGCACCATATCCTCTTTACACAACTTGAAGACATCTTGTTCTAATCATCCAGACAGTATCATGCTGCCTGCAGTCTGCAGCTGCTGAAAGTTTGGAGAGTTTTGAGCCTCAAGTTCTCCACTCCCCAAACTCTTGCATGACCAGAAAATGTGAAGAGAGAACAGAAGAGGAAGGAATAGGTACAGAGCAGGATTTCAGTTTAACATTTTAAATGATTTTCCTTTATGGGCAATCTGATATCTGTCAATCTCCTGTAATTAAAAGCAAATCAAACCAAAACCTCTAGATTATGAGGCACAATAATATGTTATTCACTGCATTCAGAGACTTAGTACCCTGTCCAGCCCTCCCTTCCAGTATTTTGCACCCAGTGGTCATAGTGTGGCTTCAAACATTGCTCAGATCTGCAAATATTGACTAGAAGACAGAGAAAAATTTGTAACGCTTTGAATTTTTCTAGCAAAAGCTCAGGCTCTCCATATGAACATTAAAACTACTCTCAGATGCAGAAATAATTAATGATTGTTTCCCAAAGTCAAGCTCTGCAGAAAGTCACACTAGTAAGAACTTCTTATCCACAGTTATTTTCTTCTGTTTTCTTCTAAAATGTTTCCCTGTCCAAGAGGAAGGCTGCTGTGAAGAAACCACTTGGCAGGTGGAAACAACACACATTCAGATACAGATAGGGAATAAGACAGCTGAATGCCTGCTCTTCAGTTATTTAAAATTAATACCCCATAATCATTAATAGGTTGGTGAGAGGAGTAAGAGAAAAGAAAAAAAGATTGTTTGATGATGAAAATTAGCTTTTGCTCCCCTGAAAGGCAGGTTACTAACAAGGGGCAGTCAAGAGAAGTTGATATTGTTCTCCCTTTGAGGGGTGAAAGATGTGTCACAGCTTGGGAATTCCTTACCAGAGGCATCTCAAAATCCTTCTGATTCTCCTGAGTTAAAGATGTGGGATAGGGCTGTTAAAGAAATTAGAGAGTTGGAACTAAATGACCTTTAAGATCCCTTCCAACCCAAACCACTCTGTTTCTACGCTGCCCAGAAGGCGTGTGCAGGCCCAAAAAACAGACAAGAAAAATTCAACATTTTAAAACAAACTGCTAAGAAGTGATAAATATTTCCCACCTCTCAAGAGTAAGAAGAGCTCAGATAACCAAGTGTAACCATCTCTGAAGTCAGGTACCACTCACCAGGTCTATATTTTGCATGATGTCCTGGAAGGAGGGGTGAGTCCGAAACTGCTCGAACAGATCGCGCTTGTAGAGCAGAGCGTACACCAGGTTGGGGTTGTGATGGAGGGAGTTGGTCAGGCAGGAGTTGATGATCTCCAGCATCATCCGGATCACTTCCTCAATCACATTCAGGTCTTGTGCCTACAAGAAAGGAGTGGAAGGTCAGTGTGCCCTCTTCCATTGTAAAATACTGAGTAATAAAGGCAGTGCAAAGGTAATTATTACTAATAAAGCTATTAGCTGGTAATGTTTCTATGGTGAGCAAATCTGGCATCCATGTGTCTGGAGAGGAATCTGTTTTCTCCAGTAATCACTAAAATTTTAATTGAAATGCATCATACTACTACTCAGCCTCATACTTGATTCTCCCAACAGGAGCCATGACATAAAGCATTACCATATTGTAATCAGTCAGATTCATAAGGGTTAAGTGAACACAGTCTTTTCAACCCTTCCTATTCTAAGTAAAAGCACTTCAGCATATAATTAATTTATTACATTTTCTGTTGAGCCCCTATACAGGAAGGAGGGATAGGGAAAAGGGACTAAAAGTAACAGAAATAAAAAACAGTGGGTGAAAGAGCAAAGGCAGGAGAAGACAAACTGACTGTATCAAACATCACTGCAACTTCAACATCTGTCACTGTTACCAGACTTTTCCTCTTTGACTCTTTTTTAATTTTTTTTTTTTTGGCATTGAAGAACACTTGCAACAAATGAAAAAAAGGAATCTCCTTTTGTAGTGCACTAAGCCTTCACACTAAGATTAACTTGTAGAGCTTTTCATTTTGTCAGTGCATTTGACAACTCAAACCTCCCAGGCTGAACAAGCTGGCATGTGAACTCCTGCCAGCTGCCTGGATTTCCCTCCTTGAGCTCCACATCAGGATATCTACAATACAGTTATTCTGACTGCAGAGTTGTCTGTCCTACCTTGGAATAGGGTAAAAAAAGGGCTCTTCTACCTTGTTTGTATCATTTAGGTTGTCTCCATCACATCAAAAACTGGACTGTGAGACTTTACATGTCTGGCAAGAATGAGAACCATACTAAACCAGCTTGAGCTTTTCTGCTGGGTATGAACAATGAAACCGCCGATACTTCCTTTTGCTGACTGCCCACAAAGTTCACTTTCTCAGTTATCACAACACACTTAAATTCTGCACAAAAAGGCAGTACTTAGAGCATTTTCTTGGGCTGTCATTCAATCTGCACACAGTTATTTTCTACTATTAAGCAGCACTGTAGGAATTGTCATGTGGCAGATGTATGCTCTCTCCAAGACACAAGAGAACACAGGAATTTTCATTATCCTGTTTAGACTCAAAAAGAGCAAAATTCTTTGCTACCACTTTGCTCTGGCTGATTTCAATGGGAAGCAAGGTGCATTTCTTCCTAGAAGTGTAGCTCACAGAATCCCAGAATGGTTTGGGTTGGAAGGAACTTTAAAACTCAGCCAATTCCAGCCCTTCTGTGTGCAGGGACACTTTCCACTCTCCCAGGCTGCTCCAACCTCCATCCAGTCGGGCCTTGGACACTTCCAGGGATCCAGGGGCAGCCACAGCTTCACTTGGAAACCTGTGCCAGGGACCCCCACCCTCACAACAAGGATTCCTTTCTAATATCGCATCTGTACTTGCCCTCTGGCAGTGGGAAGCCTTTCCCTCTTGTCCAATCTCTCTGTCCCTTGTCCCAAATCCCTCTCTAGATGGCCCTGTAGAAGGCAGCACCATGCCCCTAACCTGCTGCTCCATTTCTTTTGTGACACTGAGGACCATGGAGAAGTGAGATCCAACCATTATTCCCACACTACAGTCTGGTTATCCCCAGCTCTTGTCTTCTACATGTACAAGGGAGATTTAAGTGGAAGTTTTTTGGAGCTCTTGTTTGAAGAGGAATATCTTGTGCACGCATTCCAGTAAAATTCCTTCTTTAGTAAGATACCTGATGGTGAAGGTTGCAGATTTTTTCTGAATGTAAGTATCTCCTACTTTTAATGACTTTGCCATCTAAATCAGCATTGTAGTGTAGCTAACAATGACGGCAGAAACCCTTACAAAGCTGATTGCTGTCAATGGGATCACGTTCTTCTATGACAGAAATAATCTTTACTTTCAAAATGCAGGTGGTTTCTCTGCCTGTAGTTACCTAGCTATTGTGCTGTGAAACAGCATCCCAGGCAGGTGTTGCCAAGGGTATGTAATGGAAAATATTAGACAAAAATCGAAATAACTTCTTCAGCTGGCATCTGAAGAAAAATCCAGACCTAACTCACCTGGGGGAAGGTGCTTGCCTATCAGATTTACTGCAGAATATGCTGTGTTATGGTATATTTTTAAAAGCTCTGAGCACTGGCATACTTCTGCCCCCAGTGCAGCAGGGTGAGCTAGTGACCAAGACACTATCCCAAAATACAGAATAGATGACTTTCACAGAAATATTATGATTCCGACTTAAGTGAGATCTGTCCAGTCACAGAAAGGTAACAAACCACACAACCACTTTTAAAAAACTAAATGTTTTTTTAATAAAAGGTGTGTTCAGCTTAAACCCCAGGCATACAGCTAATTGAAAAAGAAAGCATTGCTAACCATCTTCCAATAGGTTGGAGACTCTGCTAATGATAGGCTTCAAACAATGAAAAGGTTCAGTGGTTATTACACAGTAACTAAATTTAACATTTTTAAGAGCTAATGGACAGAATCAACCATCTGTGTTTCAGCTACTACATTGCAGGTGCAGAATCTGGGACCCCCCCCCCCATGAAGAAAAATAGGAGATATAGTGAAGATTTTTACTCACAACTGACTACATGAAAAAGAATTTATAAGAAAAACTATGTCCATAAAAGACAGAGAAGTGGCACTGAATCCCTGTATTGCACATACATTATCAGGAGAATTGTCTGCTCCTATAATTAGAGATTGAATCATTCCTAAGGGTTTAAAAGTTTTCAAAACAAAGGAAAAAACAAGCATAAATCCAAGGACAGCATTTGGATAAGAAAGTGGAGAAATGCTGATAAAATGCCATGTGGTTTTGTTGCTCTGTATCATCAGTATCAAGCTACAGACCCACTGCATCCAGACATAGTATCAACACAGGTATAAATAAAGTTATATTAACATTTTGTTGTTGGAGTTTATCACCCTGTGTATTACTTTCAGAGCAGCTGAACACAGCTGAAATGCTGAATGTGTGTGGCCAAGGCACAGACTAACACATCATCCTCAGCAGAGAGGATGCTTAAATCCTTGTAAGACCGTTTTTTTACTGGATTAGCTGTTATATGAAAATAAAAGTCAAATATTGATTTGTGAAATGTAGACATGCTTCAATCTATTGAACAGTACATTTAAAGGAGTTAAAAGTTTCCTATTGCTTACAATTGACAAATTCAGTGTGGCACTCACATTTAAAATTACTACAATATTCCTTTACAAAGCAGGGCTTAGATAATGCCTCTGTCAATATCAATGTGTACCAGTCCTCCCCCACCTATTTTTTTGCTTATTCCCATAGAAATAATTATAACCATCATTAAAAAGAAAAGTGGAAGCTAAAAGCTCAGTACCAACTCTGTGAGACTGAAATCATGCCTGCAAAGGGGATGGGAATGTAGGCACAGCCTTTGCATTACTGTGGGTAATTCTAGGTAGTCACTTAATGTTCCTTCTCAGGAGAGAAGTTAAATGTGGTGCTTTTTTGCAAAGATTCTAACTTGTAAAGCAAAAAGACAGATGTTTGGTCATGGTCTAGATGCACAAGGGATAAACCAACCAGTGACAGCTAAAAGACAGCCACGTCTTTTACGTACATGCCCAGGTACACGACTGGGTAGTCTTTTGGTAAAAGGAAAAAACAAGTAATCATGCCAGAAAAAAGAGGATGGAAATAAGCTGAGAGGATGCGGGGGAAAACACGATGAATGAGAACATTATCTGGGGAAAAACAATTTGAGTCTGATAAACACTATCAAGGAACACACAAAAGTTCAAAGCCAAGGCAAATGATAGGCAGAGCTGGATGTTCCTGGATCTGACCATCCTGGAATATTGTTGTTTTCTTTACTGCAATACAGTTAATAATTAACATGGTATCCTCCTGGGCAAACATTTCCACAGAATTAAATACTTACATCCTGATGTGTAAAACCACTTGGAAAGTATATGGCTTTTAAATATCAAGAGAAGTCAAGCAGCCTAACCATGAAACCCCAGGCATTTGCTCACAGTTAGTTCCTTACAGACATATTTACCCATCAAAAAACAAATCACTGTCAACAGAGGATGCAAAAACTCAATGTCACATAACGCCTCTTTAATTTATGGTGCCCCATCTCCTGGTTCCCACAACGGAACATTCTGAGTGCTCATCCTTTTAATTCAATTTGACATTGAATTTATTTTAATTATTGTGACCATAAAAAACTGATTTAAAAAGTTCTATCATGAATGAATGCAAATCTCCACCCTCTAAATGTTACCAGTTCTGAGGAGATAAAGGGAGGCATGTCTTGTGTAATTCAGCTTAGTGTTGTATAACCATCCCTCGTGGTTGTACTGTCTAATATAAACAGAGGCAAAATTATGCAGCTTTCTGTTTCCTTTCCTCCAAAGTAATTTATATAGAAAATAATGGCTGGTTGAAAAATCAGAATTTTGGTGACTTGTGATGCTATGAAACAGCATCAATAAGCAAAGGTGGACATGTGTTTCTCTTCCACGATGAAATTAGCTCCTTGATTAGCCCATTTTTTGACTGGAAGTCAAGCACTGCCCTTTTTCAGTGTGGTCCCCAGGGTATTGCACAGCATGGATGGTGACAGATTTCTTAATGATATTTTGCACTTTTGATCACTAACCCAGGAAGATATGCAGCACACTCAGTCACAGCTGGCACAGGTTTCCAGAGCAGCTGTGGTTGCTCCATCCATGGATGCTTCCAAGGCCAGGCTGGATGGGGACCCTGGGAGAGTGGAAGGTGCTCCTGCCCATGGCAGGGGAGGAACAAGATTAGCTCTAAGGTCCCTTCCAACCCAAACCATTCAGGGATTCCAGTCCATGATTTTAAGAAGCATTAGTGAACAAACTTCAGTCTCGTATAATGTCCACATGACAATTACAAGCTTCAGATTATAT